TGTTGTTCCATGTGGGCTTTGTTGCTTCTGAGCTAGAGGGCCGCTTGTTTACCTTCAAGCTTTTGAGACCCCAGATGCTATATCTTTTGACAACTCCTGATTTTAAACCATGCAGTATCTCTTTCTGTTTGAATGATTGCTTATTGGTCTATGTGTACATTTTGCATGAGCACAGTTAAATGTTCCGGAATTAACGTTCACAATGTTATTTATCATTTCTTCGGTTCCACAAAGTTGAATGCCTTTGCATAGTCAAGAAATCACAGAAAACTGCTCAATCAAGCAATGATATCACTTGTTTCTGGAAATTTCCTATGTACTATTGTAACCATTTTATAATTTTATGATTATCTTCAACAAAATTTTCCTTCATATGATATTGATGATATTGTTGGATTTTTTTGTGTATTTCATCTGCTTGTTAAAACATCTCAGTTTGTACTTCAATTCTGGAGCCTTGTTTTTCGCTAATGTCTTCATTGCAGCTTGGACTTCTTCAGTACCCTCAGTTTTTTATCATATGCTACCTCTTGAGGCTGAACACTGACCACTACTTTTGGGTACAGTGACTGTATTCTTTTTTATCTTCCCTTCCTTGCATTGTTGTGGATTTTTTGTTTGTAGAATCTTTCAATATTATAACTCAAAGCTTGAATTTTTTTTCTTCAGTTCTTTCAGCTTGGTAAATGCCAGGTATTTTGTTCCCTTTTGGTTTTCTAACTCCAGATCTTTGCTTATTTCTTTATAGTAGTTTGTCTTCTCAAGCCATCTTTTGAAATCTCTTCAGCTCTTTTACTTCCACATGTCTTCAGTTTTCTTTAGTTAGTCTACCTTTAAGAGCAAGTGTCATTCTCTTGCATCATCTTCTTAGTCTTTTTTTAAATCCCTGGCTTAGTGACCTTTTGCTTTCTTCGTGTATGAAGTGCTTGGTTTCATCCCACAATTCTTCTGTTACTGGTGTTCAGTGTGTCAAATTTGTTCTTAATATAGTTATAATGGGATATATGCAAAGTTGTACTTTGGCTCTTAATGAACTTGCTTTCATTTTCTTCAGTTTCAATTAGAATTTCCATATAAACATGTGATGGTATGTTACATTTCGGGCTCCGGTTTTGTTGTGATTAATAATATAGTGAACTTTTATATTGGCTTTATCCACAGATTTAGTCTGTTTGATTTCTGTATATTCCATCTGGTGAGGTCTTGGTGGATGTATGTAGCCATTAATACTGTTGAAAAAAGATAGTGCCCATGAATAGGTCATTAGTCTTGCAAAAGTCTGCCATGTTTTGGCACAGTCTCTGGCAGGTGTCATTCTTACGACCATGGATATATTTTCCAGCTATTGATGCTTCTTTGTTTCCAATTTTTGTATTGCATTCACCAGTTGGTCAGTCATACTGTAGAAGTTGGTAAAGGTTTTGAATTTTTCATCTCTGGCATAAGTGGGTAGTGTGTAAATTTGAATAATAGTTTTATGACAACAAGTCACAAAGTATTGTTACTAGGGCTACAGCTGGTAGATGCACAGGTTTATTCAGTACAAAATATTTTAAAACATGTCTCTGTGGTCATTGGGTAACTACTTAAATGTATTCTCTCAGTAATACACTTGTCTTAGTCTTCCTGGGGAGGGTACCTTCAAATAAAAGGGCCAAGCTATGACTTCTGAAAGGATCTGCTGCACCAGTTAAATTCAAGGCAGAGATGTCAGCTTAGAATGTTTTGGCAACCGCTACTTGGCATTCCAAAGAGGTAGTCTGATAAATTTTCTTGAAGATTACAGGACTATCATGGGAACTTAATAGGAAGAAGTTTTAAGAAACTTAAAAAACTCATTGGTGAGAAAAAGGCCAGGAAAAGTTGGGCTGAGGAATTTTTTCCATCATGACAATGCATCTGGTCATTCTTCAAGTGTAGCAAGGACTATCTTACAATTTCATTTAGAAACCTCACCCCTTATACTCACTTAATCTTGTACCTTCAGGCTTCTTTCAATGCCCAAATTCAAGGAACAAAAGAGGCACCATTTGTACAGTGTAGACACCTGAAAGATGCCTAAACTGCCTTAACAGTAGCTTGACATTTTGGCATTTAGCAATAATTTTTTATAGTATTAACTGTTCATCCTTGTCATATGGATATTATCCTCTACTTGACAGCATTATGCTTTAGGATAGATCTGAAATGTTCTTTGTGACTGTAAATGCAACATCATTCCTCCTCACTTTGTCATTCCTAGCATAGTAAACCATGATTATTCAACTCATAATGTCTATTCCAGTACACTAATGATATCTATTCCCAAGTGTGTTCCCTTTTGTTTTTTATTCATACTCCATGTACCAAGTATTAATGGATGCTTGCCTCTGCTGCTTCTTTTGAGTCGTGTCACAACAGCAGATGAGGGTCCTAAGAGCTTTTTCCATCCAGGTTGTTAATGCTGACTCTCCTTTCAGAGGCAGCTCTGCCCCTTTCAGTATTTTCTTGCGCTCCACATCAGGTACCTTCTACAGCTGTTCATAAGGTTTTTACGGAAATTTTTAATAAGTAGATCACTAGGTCCTTCTTTCTGGTCTTTCTTAGTCTGGAAACTTGACTGAAATCTCTTCACCTTGGGTATCCCTGCTGGTATTTGAATTACAGGTGGATAGCATCATGACAACATGCAAGCCATCACAGAATGATAAACTGAAAATGTGTGCGAGGGTGTGCTTGAAGATTTGAGTACATTAAAATAATAATGTTATCCATTCTGCATCATGTATATCTATACCTATAGCCTGTTGATCATCTAGGAATATGTTCAATACCATTACGTCTTTTAGATTATCTGATAAAAGAATATTCTAGATTTTTCAAAGGCAAGAATTTTGGGGGGTTTTCTTGGAAGTAATCATGTAGACCCAAAGTAGACAGGCATGGGCAGGAGATATTAGTCATTTACAACTGAAAATTTTATAAAGGGAGGC